AAATCCTCTGATAGTCAGCGTCGTGTGACGTATTTGCTTGAATCATAGCATGTGTGTTGTGGGCGAAGTGGCCAACTCAGTCAATATAAGGGCTGTTGGCTTTTAGAAACACTAGGGATATTTACTCCCACCTCTTAATATATATTTCTGCAAGCATGTGACATTGAGGTCTTTCTTAGTGACCATTTGCTTGATATTGATAAAGGTACATTTTCCTTTGGTTAATGGCATCTTGACGTTCGGAAGTTCCTAGGGATCTAGATGTGAGGGCTTGTCAATGTATTTCCATTTGCACAGGACAGAGTCTTATGGTGGAGATGTTCTCCCTGAGTTCACCCTTCTGGGCTGAGGGCTACACCTCAGAGGGGTTGTCTGTGCTAAAGGCTGTACCTCGGCGAGGTGGTCTGCAGTCAAGCAGTCCACTGATAGGGTGCCTGCAACCTTCAATATTGGGCTTTCTGTGAATTTCTAGAATGAAGAGTTGTAATTATCTTTTCAGAAATGGTTTGGCAGCACTTGATAATGTTATGTTCAAAGTTTAGTGGTCATTAGTAAACTTAATTAAATAAGGCTGAGTTTAGGAAATTTAAGCTTTGACAAAATGTAACCAAACAGGGTCTGAGTGTTTAAAGCTGTTTTTCTCACTTATGTGTTAGGACTTAGTGTTTATGTAAATGTCTTCCCGAAGTAGCTTATGTGATTTGCAGAACCAGCGCCAGTAGCTACCAATCGCTGTTATTGCTGGCGTTATGTTTTCGAGTATGTTATTTATTAGCAGTATCTGCCAGTTGTAACAAAATCCAAATTAACCTGCCTTTCTTGGAAAGGATACATACCTAAGAAAGGACTTTAAGTTAATGTCAACATAACATTTAGAATTTCTCATTTTAAAATAAGAAATAAAAAGCACATTTTAAACTGTATTTTATGCTTTTGGAGGCAGAACCCATATGTGTCTCCTTGCTTCTCTGTTTTCCCATTGCAGCAAGCCTAGTTCTGCGCACACAGTGGGTGCTTTGTTCCCAACGTCCATCCAAGTTTAGATTTTACAGGTGCTGTCATCTGTTAGAGTAGATGTGACAGAGCCATTCCATGATGGTATTAGAAAGAGTATAATCATAAATTATACCTCCTTCAGTAGACACAGGGCACCAACCTTCTCTTTTTTTGTCTCCCCTCCCCACCTCCCACCCAAACAATGTGAAAGTAGGGTTATGGCAGCTTTACTTAGGAGTTATATGTTTCTACAATAGTTCGTAATTCTAAGAGTCCTCCAGACTCACACGATAATTTTCCTACTTCTTTGTGGAAGTTTGAATAGACCAAGAATTTATCCCCATGGATCTATGAAGGATTCTTTCTGTAATCTGAAAGAACTCCATGCTAGAGTCTTATGTTTTTATGTTAAACTATATTTCTCTAATTTCCCCCTTCCTATTCTCCTCAAAATTCAACCAAAATTATGAAGATACGCCTAACCTAGTGAATTTCCAATCGCATTTTATCCTAAGACCATTAACATTAACTTACCCTTTCAAGTCGTGAATTGGACTCTAAATCTGGGTCTTGTGTCTTGTCCTTAAACACCCTTCATTACCCTTTAGAATAGAACAGTCATGTGCTACAGTTGTGAACATAAAGGAAATCCGTTTTTTCAAACAACTATGAGTTCTTGGAACAATATCTTGTATCTTGGTTTATCATTGGATCTCTTGTTTTTTAAACCTAGAATTTATGAGAAAAAAAAGTTAATATATAGCTTGTTATAGCATTTTAGAAAAAAATCAACCCTGTGAATTATCCGGCTCCACGCTACTTGGCTCATTACTCTACTGATTTTAATACCTCTGTGAGGGCATTAAGGTTGAGAGGAATGGCGAAATTTGTGTTAGATAATATTATTTTGTCAGTGATGTGATACATAGGTTATTGTAAAGGAATTAAATACATACAGACCCAATTTTTGAAAATTAGTCATGTTGTTCCCAAACTTCCATTACAGGCAAGATCTTGGGGTTTGTTGTCCGTGATAGACTCTATACATTTTATGTGCTTTCTAAATAGAGAAGGTGAAAAATAACTAACTACTATTACAGATAAGAGGTTTTAGTCCACCTCTATTTTATAGGAATTTGCCCTCCAAATGTTTGAGAGAGAAGTCAATTAAGGTAGGAGAATATCTTTTCCTGAAGTAGAATGAAATTTCCTTTAAAAGTGACAATCAAGAAATAGTCATTTCTATACCTACTTGCCAGAGTTTTTAAAAATTTTATGTTTCTTACCGTAAACCCAGT